TTCAGCAGGATTTTGGGCCAAGGTGGAGATGCGATGGAAAAGATCCCACCAAAGCAGAACGTGGCTTGTGCCCGCGCGCTCCTGCGGCGCTTGGAGGATCCAAATTACTGCGAGCAAGGGAGCTGTCTTTCCTGCTGGAAATCCAACTAACATCATATCCTTTAAATAAAGCAAAAAAAAATAAATCCACTCTATTGGAGACAAAGTTTTGATGATTTACACGGACCTTCTGTTAGGAAAAGCCATTAAGAAACAAATGCTCTCGGAAACTATTTCTAGATATCATGGAATCATGGAATGGGTTGGGTTGGAAGGGACCTCAAAGACCATCTAGTTCCAACCCCCCTGCCATGGGCAGGGACACCCTCCACTACACCAGGTTGCCCAAAGCCTCATTCAGCCTGGCCTTGAACACTTCCAGGGATGGGGCAGCCACAGCTTCTTCTGGGCAACCTGCTCCAGTGCCTCAGCACCCTCAGAGGGAAGAATTTCTTCCTTAGATCCCATCGAAATCTCCCCTCTTCCAGTTGAAAGCCATCACCCCGTGTCCTATCACCATATACCCCTGTAAAAAGTCCCTCTTCACATCCTCATGGGAACCCCCCCCCAGCAACAGCACCGACACCCCCCCAAAAAGCCACATCCAGCTTTGCCACGTCTTCCTTGAACGCTAAAACCAAGAGTTGAGTCTTTGATCCTTTTGTCGTTATTTTTTAACGAAAATGTGACGTGACCACTAAAGCCGATCCGGTATTTTCGACGCGTGCAGCCCCTCGGATTCCTGCAGCCCCCTCGGATTCCTCCGGTGTCTTTCCCTGCTGAATCTCAGGAGCTTTAACCACATTACATCAGTCAGCACCGTTAGCCCTGGTTTGCCAACAGATTGAAAAAAATTAAATAATTTGCTCGGGAAAAATCAATAGCACAGGGATGAACGAGACGCTGGATAACTCGGATTCCCCTTTCTCCTAATTCGCCACGAGATCAAGTTCCAACTAAATAAAAATGATGGACTCCACGAATATGATTTAACTTACATTGCACCTTTTTTCTGGTTTTATGTTAAAAAAAAAAGAGTGAAGAACCATAGCTCGAATTTTTTTCAGTCTGTCCTCTTGCCCCATGCCTATGGGCATTGTTTTTTTTTTTTTTCCATAAGAAATTAAAGCAAATTGTGACTCTTTCTGGATGATTTTGTTCCCAATTTGACATATACCTGTGTGAAATGCCCACAGCAAGACAGAAGTATAAAAATCTGGATAGCTGCCTTCAAAATCTATATCCCTTAATCCCCTCCTACCTTCTAGCGCAGCGAATTTTTATTATGTATCTTCTCTCATTTTTCAGACAGGTATAAAACCAGAGGTTATTTTTAGGTCTAAGTTAAAAATTCACTAACCATATGATGTGAAGAATTTTTTCTAAAGATGTAACAACGAAAAGATTTTTTTTTTTCCCCCAATCACACTCAACGTCAAATTTCCTAATTTGTACAGAATTCCTTTTCGGCATTTTTTGAGGCCTTTTCTATAATTCCATTGAACTTAACGCTAGGAGAGACTTTTGCTGATGACCTCTTCCAAGTCATTGAAGCACCATTCTTGCCTGCAACTTCCCTGGGTCATTCCAGGGTTGATGTAGATAAAGAATTTTGTGTTTCTTTGCAAAACCAGTCTTGCAAGAAACGCAGTAGTTATTGCATAGAGTAACAAATATTCCAAAACACAATCGGGAATTCAATTGGAGTCGAGGAGAACCGCAAAGAGGGTGGCAAAAAAAAAAAAAATCCTTGATTATTGATTGATTATTGATGACAGGCGAGGCAGGAGGGTTTTCCAGGGTCGCTGCCTACCTGCCGGCGGCCGAGAACAATAGGAGGTTGGCTGTGCAGGAGATCAATAGCCCCCACCCACAAAACAATTCCTGCTCCGGCTCCGGCTTCGGCTTCGCTCTTCCAAGGGCTGAGGGCCAGCCCCTTCCATCAGAAATACTCAAGGAGTAATACAAGTTGGAAAATATCTAGGGCAAGGTGGTCGCTGCGTCTTTGGTCGGTATTTTTAATGCCAGGAGAGGTAAATTCCCAGCTTTTTGATTAAACAGCATATTTTGCTTTTGACACGAAGCGAACGGAGAGCAAAGAATATTCTGAAGTGTGAATATTCAGAGGGAATATTCAGACAAACCTCAGGGTTTTTCAAAATTCTCTAAGATTTTGCATGAGTCATTAGAAAGGGAGGCAAAGGAGAAAAAAGATGTCTATAATAGCTGGTTTCCCAGTCCTTCAGCCTAACTCTGGCCCAGTTAAACCAACCTAACAATGCCATTTTTCTTCTTCTCCAAAGCTGCAGTGGGGGAATCTTTTCTTGTGAAAACAAGATCAATTCTGTTCCAAGACAGTAAATGAGTTTCAGATCAGACTTGGTTCAATTTACGGAGAGAACTCAACTAGGCTGGCTTAAATGCATTCTTCCTCTAACTATGAAATTATATTACAGTGCTATAGAAAGAGTAAAATATCATTATTTTAATCCAAAAATCTGTTTATAATCTATCAGGAAGGAGAAAGCCAATATGACTCGGGTCATAACGGTGCATTAAACTTTGTGTTTTCATTCCTGTTAATTGCATAATTCCGTTAACCCGCGCTATTTATTTTGATCTAAATTATATAATGTTTTCTAAATAAAGCTATTTCCATAAAAATGATGATGGTTTCATAGGAAGTAGCTGGTTTTTCCATCACAGTGCTGACCAAATTATACGCTGACCTTCGAAGTTTGCTCCTGTTACACAGAATTGTGACGGATTTTCTTAAGCAGTTTGGACGACTCGGGACCTCCGTTAACAGTGGAAGATGCGCAACATCAACGAAGACGCAACAGCTCGTAGGAGTTGGGGATCACAACCTTCTCCACAGCACCGGTGTCTGATACATAAACATATCCATACCAACAACGACGTGTATTCTATTCTCAACTACTGCAAAGCCATGTGAGCAACACGTGACAGCCCAGCTAGTCCAAGTTGCCCCTTTCTCCCCAGGCTTTGTCACCCAACGGTGCCCGTCTCCTCGATTTCGGCAGCACACCTACAGTTGGGTCTACGTTGCAGCTGATGCCATGGTCATTAAGCTCTTTATTGGGCAACCCACTAACTGATTCAACCAGACTGATCTTTGGAGAAGGTAAAACCTGAGGGACGGGCAATGGGTTATGTTTTTCTGTACCTGAGAAGTTTTGAAGATGAAATCAAAGCTCTCCAAAGGCCAAGACGTAGGGTGAAAAGGGCTCCTTTTCTTTTTAGCTATCTTCACGCGTTCTGATTTACAACCCGGTCAAGCCATAGCTGGAAACAGAGACGCTGGCAATGACATCTCTTATGCTGAACTGGTAGCTACAGCCACAGAACCACAGCCACAAAACCAGCAATTCGTTTTCCAACACGTAGATCTCCGAATCAGCCCACTACGGCGTCAGCCCAGGGCTGGTGCCGATGGATCGCGTCCCTGGCGGCAGCTAGCTGTGTTAGATAGTTTGAAATTGTACTCCTAGACAACATGCCATCATCTTTCTGCTGGGGGGGGGACACAAGGACTAGCTGAAGGACTGACTGAAGGAGCTGAGCCTCTTCTCCCTGGAGAAGAGAAGGCTCAGGGGGACGTCATCACAGCGTTCCAGTTCTTAAAGGATGGCTACAAAGGGGACAGAGGCTGTCTCTTCACAAGGAGCCACATGGAGAAGACAAGGGCAACAGGTAGACGTTGTACCGCGAGAGGTTTCATACTGACATAAGAAAGAGTTTTTTTTACAATGAGAACAAACCTTCATTGCTGTCTCTTCACAAGGAGCCACATGGAGAAGGGGCAACAGGTAGACGTTGTACCGTGAGAGGTTTCATACTGACATAAGAAAGAGGTTTTTTTACAATGAGAACAAACCTTCATTGCAACAACCTCCCCAGGGACATGGCGGAGTCCCCATCACTGGAGGTTTTCAAGATGCAGTTATACAGGGTGCTAGATAGTCTCAGGTAGGGTCCCCTTCCCACAAAAGGCTGGTCAGATGATCTTTCAAGGTCCCTTCTAACCTGGGCTGTTCTGTGATTCCATAATTTTTACTTCTGCTCTCCATAGCAATATATTCCAACCAGCTGTGGCCCATCCCCTCAGAGATGATTGCCAACATGATACTTAAGTCATCCATGTTTGAGTTCATTATGAGCTCCTATGCTATGACATTTCAGAAAGATGAATGCAAAAAAAAAAAAAAAAAAAAAAATTAAAAAAATTCAAAGTTAACAAGGGATGGAAAAGAGCACATATATGATGAAAAGATGGAAAACAACATTGATACGGTGTAAGTAAAATAAAATGCTTCAAAATTTACGGTCACGCATACGCACTCACACACACATGAAGATAAGACGTTTCTTATCCCATCTTCTTCCCAACGAAGAAGTCCCAGCAAAGACTATTAATTTAAAAAAAAAAAAGGTCAAGAGAAACTCCAAAACAGTTAAGAGAAAGTTAAGACCATCCAGTTTCAACCCCCCTGCCATGGGCAGGGACACCCTCCACTACACCAGGTTGCCCAAAGCCTCATCCAACCTGGCCTTGAACACTTCCAGGGATGGGGCAGCCACAATTTCTCCGCTCCCTACACCTGTCCGACCCCCTCTTTTCACAAGATCTGTTGAAAACTAAACTCTCCAATTTTGCTGGCATCAGCAGTGTTTTCAAAGGGTACCAGGGGATGTGGCACGTTCGGACCAGCAGCAAAATCACAAACGTTTTGTTTTCTTAGGAAATGACTGATGTGTGGATGTCCTGGGATACTCTTCGTCGTACCAAATATCTGAGTCATCCTCACGTACGTCTACGAGAAAAACTTCTGTCCCTTAGTTTTAGTTCATTGAGACACAACCCGTCACGATAGCCGGGATGTTAAATATGCAAACCCGAAATATCTGATTAAAAAAAGATAGCATTCAAATCACTTGCCTCCTATAGGATTTGGGGAAAAAAGTGGATTTAATTTTTAATTTTAACAGAGAGCTAATGGATCAGAAGACATCACAAGAGATTTCAAGGCAGTCGACGGCGCGAACGTTGCCGTGTTCACCGCGAGTCTCCAGTTGATCCCTTGTTAAATCCCATTTTCGGATGAAATCCATTTGGGATGCGATACAAAAATCCGTACGGCTGGAAACGCCGATTTAATGAAACATATGAAATCCCTGACTTCACCCCTGGAGTAATCTGGTGCTTAATTCTGTTCCAACGTGTGTGTAAAAACAGATTGTGAAGCCACGGCGCGTCTCGGAAGGTAAACTTCCTCTCCAAGGCACGCCAACACAACTCCAGTAGCAATGGGAATACTGGGAAGTTCAATACATTGCTCAGAAAAGGCGCTCGCAGGCTGCGGCGACGAGACTTTTCGAAGATCCTACTGATGGGTGAAGCCTGAATACAAGCAGTAAATAACACAAAAAAGCAAAAATCCAAAATTGAGGAAAACACCAACAGGCAATAGCTCCTCCACAGTCCCGTACGGATCGAGACGCGCAAAACCAGTATAAACAACTCAACGCCGTGCCGGCGCGTCGCGTGTGACGCCGATGAGTTCAAGGGCAAAACGCTCGTCGTTAATAACCGTATCGATGGCAGATGCTTTGAAAAATATCCTGCATTAAGAGCAGGATCAAGTGTTTTCATATTCAGGACAGGCCAGTCCCTCGGATTTATCAGCCCATTAACTTTATAAACACGGAATTAGCCGCGCTTCCAGCGTGACGCGGCGCAATCGGTAAGGAGAAATTCTTTGGGTGGCACCGGATAATTAAATCTCTCGTGAACTATTTGTAAGGTCAGCAGAGATTAATGCAGGATGGCGGGCAAGGTCACCACGTGGATTTCTGGAGAATTCCACCCTCTCAAATAGGCACAGTCACAATTATTATTTTCTGGAATACGGTCAATGACCATGTGCATAATTTACGCAGCAAAACCTCTGCATCCTTTAACTGAAGTCATTCATGTTGATAACTTATTTTGATTTTGAATTTTGATTTTGAATTTTGATTTTGAATTTTGATTTTTTGATTTTGAATTTTGTTTTTTAGATTTTGAAATTTGATAACTGATTTTGAAATACCGTGGCTTTAGGCTCCGTGCCATTTGTCCCATTACTCTGGATAACTCAGCACACGGTTTCAACATACGATAACGAAATCTGACGTCTCCTCATCGGCAGTGTATCCGAGGTTATCATCAAGAGGAGCTCAAAGCTGGAGGTTGGAACTCTGCTCAGCCTGATACAAACAAAAATAACATGCAAATAGATAAACACACCGGAGGAAAGAACTCGTGAGGACCCAAGACGGGTCCAAGCGTCTCAGCCACATGTCTGACAACGCGACACCATCACCCACGGGCTCCATCACCTCTGTATGAACCGTGAGGATCATAGAATCATAGAATGGTTAGGGCTGGAAGGCACCTTCAAAGGTCATCTAGTCCAACCCCCCTGCAAGGAACAGGGATATCTCCAACTAGATCAGGTTGCTCAGGGCCTCATCCAGCCTGGCCTTGAACGTCTCCAGGGATGGAGCATCCACCACCTCTCTGGGCAACCTGTTCCAGTGTTCTTCAACTCTCATGGTAAAAAATTTTTTCCTAATATCCAACCTGAATCTACCTCCCTCTATTTTAAAACCATTACCCCTTGTCCTATCACAACTGGCCCTCCTGAACAGCCTCTCCCCATCTTTCTTGTAGGCCCCCTTGAGGTACTGGAAGACCGCTATAAGGTCACCCTGGAGCCTCCTCTGATGACAAAACCACGGCACTGTTGATGGAAATGATCTGACCTCTTTTCCACGGAAGATTAGACAACGTTATGCTCGACAGCCCTTTGGAAGCGAAGCATAAACGAAACCAGTGTTGCCTCTGGAGCCTGCCACTGGCAGACTGGAGAAGGTGAAGCCAACCTCGGCACCACCACCAGCTTCCAAACAATGTAGAGAGCTCTCTGCACTGCTTAGTGTCCAATAAAGATGTCAGCATCCTCATGTTTTATGACATGTCTAAAAGACAAACAAAGCTTATTTTGACTCTGTGCCCAAATATCAGCCTGGACAGCCAAGAAGTCTGACTCAGTCTTACACTAAAACAGAAAAACAGGGAAGAACCTGTTTTGTCCAACTTCAGATCCCTTATGCTGGCTCATCCAGAGACATGGCAAAGTCTTCTCCATCCTTTCATTTCCTGATATCATTTGAAGAAACAAACGACTTAGAAACTTAAACTGGGCGATAACGCAGACCACATGAGAAAACAAAGACCCCAGTTACAAAAACCCAGTTAAAAAACTAGTGCAGGAGGAGAAAGCCACCGCTGTGGAATTACTTGATAGCTGAGCAGATGGGGGGGTGTTTTTTCAAGCAATCCAGCAATGAGTCTGTAGCACTTCAGAGAGACCATACAGAGATGGCAAAGGGGACTTTTGCCAAACTCCAAGTAAAACCCAAATTCCAGCCTGCTCAGGAAGTTGGCCAAAAGGATTGTAGGAACTCAGGGCACTGCAGTTGCGTTTGCTCCTAATAGATTTTCTAATATTAATACCGACTAGTCAATGTGTAGATATGGAACCACCTGCAATTTTTACATCAGACATTGTGCACTTCCCCCTGCCCTCATCCCTCCTCATCGTCACCGATGCTTTTCCACAGCCTACTGATCCACATCCCCAAACGGAGGCGCGTGAAGTCGGAAAACTTGCCGGTGCTCAGTCACAGGGGCAACGACTCCACCAAGAGCAAGACCTACCAAGTGCTGAAAATGAAGATTAGTCAACGGACGAGGCAGGGCTAGCGCTGACGGTCTCTTCCCTCTCTCTCTACTAACCCACGGAATGTTTTTGGGATTAAAAAAAAAAAAAAAGAATGACAGAAATGCAGTCCTCAACACAAGAGTTTTGGAGGCGAATAAAGGATGCCAGGATCTCAGCAGAAGAGCCAGGAAGCACCACGCTGGTTCTCCCCCATGGTCAGTGCCTCCCTCCCCGTGGCATCGCTGCAAACCCCGCGCCCGGTTGCCAGCTCCACCGCTCCGTTCCGCTCGCTCCGTCAGCGCCGATCTCTCGGCAGCCTCTTGCTGCGGTGTTGCTTATTGTACGCTCCAAATTTCTCAGCTATTTTTGCCAGTGAAAGGATATTTGAAATGAACTGGTTTGTACTGGACCCTTCCCTCCCCATTCCCTCTGCCCCCGGCACCAGAGCAAGGGATAACGGCACTCCGGATACTCACACGTATGCCTCGCCAAGGAATAATTTGATCCACCACTAGTCAAACCAAATCCCTCGGGAATTTGACTGGAACTCCGTGGTCGAGTGAGGAGTTTTGGAGGTTCGATTTCCGCTCCGAATTCGGCCCCGATCACGCCCAGCAGGACGATGGCCGTGGCTTGTTTCCGTCGCTCTTCGTAGGACGTGGAGATTTTTTTCATTTGTGGGAGACCAGACAGACAACCTGCAATGAAAAGTAGAAAAACGTGAGGAAAATCAAAAGCAAGGTTGTTCTCTAACACTTCAAACATTGTATTTCCCAGAAAAAATAAAAAGAGGTTCCTGTTTAACTGAAATCACATCTTCAGGAGTGCGAATTGCCTGTATCAGGGTTTTGGGTTGGTGGAGATGATTCCACTTGACTTCTCTCAACCTACAACGCACAAAAAAAGTTGAAATATCACCTATTGCAACGTCTGGCATCAAGGACATCCAGGACCCACCCTTCAAAAACTGTCAAGACCTCACGGGGCAAAAAGAGCCACCAGAAAACTGCCTAATTTCATAATTTCATAATTTCACCCGTTCAGCTGATAAAAGATCCGTGGAATTCTGTGCTTGTTGAGTTTTTGTGAAAGCTGATTTTTGGTTTGCTTCTTGGTAATTTTAAATTTGTGTAACAAGTTGTACATTTGTTTTTTTTTTTAAAAAAAGCAGATGGATTTTTAGGATAACTTACATAAAAGCATCTCTTGTGTTTCAGGATCCATCGCCACGTTCAGATTCTTCCTAAATTTCAACCTAACAGTGTATGTCATTAAACCAAACTTAGTGCTTTTGCAAACCAAACCGTTACACACGGTATTTTAACAAACATCCTTAAAAACACTGACAAAATCTCTCTGTATTATGAATTTTAATTAAAACTGAAATTTATGTCATTGGCTTAACACAGCCCAGGGATTTTGCTTTTCACTGAGCAGATGAAGTGTTTTTTTTTGGTTTTTTTCTTTTTCGTAAAGAAAAAAAAATTTAGAAGAAACCCACTGGAATGAAAAATTCATTTGTTGTGACAAGTAGGGTTCACTTTTCACGGCGCAGTCGGAAACGCCCCACCACGTAATTCCACAAAACCAAGGAAGCCTTAATCCTTAACGGCGGAGTGCTGCAAAAAACCCTTGCCCAGAAGTTGGGTGGCACCACCTGGCACTGAGGGAGACTTATGGGGCTCTTGGGTTGACGAAGGGTGAATTAACGAGTCTCTCTGCTAATGACATTCACGTGGCTCCATAGAATCATAGAATGGTTAGGGCTGGAAGGGACCTTCAAAGGTCATCTAGTCCAACCCCCCTGCAAGGAACAGGGATATCTCCAACTAGATCAGGTTGCTCAGGGCCTCGTCCAACCTGGCCTTGAACGTCTCCAGGGATGGAGCATCCACCACCTCTCTGGGCAACCTGTTCCAGTGTTCTACCACTCTCATGGTAAAAAATTTTTTTCCTAATATCCAATCTGAATCTCCCTCCCTCTATTTTAAAACCATTCTACAGGGAACGGAATGGTGCCTACAGGGAACGGAATGGTGCCTACAGGGAAGCTAACTGGGTTTTAGGACCTGTGGTAGAAGACTGTCCTCGTCCCGGCGGCCACGCTGGGCGCCGTGCCAGCCAAAAGGGAGAGAAGCACAAGAGAAAGCTGAACAATGGTAGGGGAGACAAAAAAAAAAAAAAAAAAAAAAGAAGAAAGCAAAAAAAAAAATCAATAGCAACTGCCATCGGAGGAAGAAGGATGAAAACGGGCTGTACCAGACAAAGCAAAAAAATGAAACAGTTGTAATTGTTCCGCAATCGCTCGTCCCCCTCCTGCCATCTGCGGGCACCGCTTT